ATTTCTTCCATATGTTATGTATAAAAAGACCCAAAATGAACGCAGTAAGTAGGCTACTATAAAACAGAATTAAACAGTATTTGTACAGGAATGATTCTGTTCCAAGCTTTTTGATCCATATAAGCAGTTTGATCACCATAAGCGGTTTTCACTGTATTTTAAATATTGCTAGTGTTGAAACCGTGGTATTACCTTTGGTACCTTTTCCGCACTGTTTACATTTGATCTCTTTTTGTTCGGTGTCGTCTTCACTAAAGCCACAATGTGTCTAAAAGACGGACACAGCATTTTCCTTTGGTACGAGCTGCTGGAGTTGCTCAGTCGGCTCGGCGTTTGAGTTCCCCTCTAAAACACGGAGCGTGACCTCACACTGCACAGCCCCCCCCACCACACCACACCACACACACACACACACACACACGCACACACACATACACTCATAGGCTACTACTGCTTTCCGGGACTTTTCCCAGGACAATCCAATATTTCACAATTTACGTCTCTTGCCGTCTAGACTCTGAATGATGTGGGTCAATCATTGTGAGATTGATCTCTAAATGCTGCGCCCGGCCGTGACCCACTGAAACCGTCGCTAATACATGGCCACTATTCCAGACAGAGTAACCAACACACAGCACCCTGGGCCAAATTCCCACCCGAGCATTCCTGACCAAGAAAGATTATCAGGTTACCTTTGCTGTTCATATCCCTCACCAAATGCCTACCACAGCAAACCAGAAGGCAGAAAATATCCCACTTAAATACCATGTACTGTAGCATTATAACATACGGTAGGAATAATGTAACGGACGACGGGTCTTAGCTGTTGTAATACTCAGGCAAACATTAAGTGATCCTCCAGACCAGTGTTTCCCAATGCGGTCCTTGGGCACCTGCAGACACCTCCCAGGTTTCTGTAAGCAAAAATGTGGACTGTCTGGCAGGGAGCTGGGAGGAAGCAAAAACATGGACCGTCTGTGGGTCCCCGAGGACCGGATTGGGAAACACTCATCTAGGAGGTTGGGAAACAGCGCTCTAGACTGTCTGCATGCTGTATGCATTCAATTACAGCCACATAATTCTCAGATTGTAGAATCAGGCTATTAGGTATACTTGCTTTTTATTGCAAACAAACTGGACACTGAGCATATGAGCAGATGTGTACAGATATTTTCTTTTTATAAACAATTATTCTTTTACAAGGAATGCAATGATAACACCTTACTTGCAGAGCTAAAGACTAAAACCAGCACATATATGTAAGGACTCCTGCCTCCACCTCTGTAGCATATAATGCAGCTCACATTATCAGTGGCCCAGGTGCTCAGGTTCCCAGCATTTTACAGCTTGGGCAGAACTAGCGCTGACTCTCGCCAAGATATCTTGCACATTGAGCATTCATGCAATATTCATCGCCAATCACAAAGCTCCATTTAATCAAAAGGAAACAGAATCGTCATGTATATTTAAATTCCAGACAAAGCAAACTTAATTAGCCTTTAACAAGGGCCACAACTGGATTTGTGGGTAGTGAAATGGATGGATGGAATTAGCCATTATTTAGGGCTTCTTATCTGCAGACACCGGGTATTAAGGTTTACCTGCCGTGACTTTACACTACAATGCCTCGCTGCTTTGACAGATCTGTATCAAACCAGCACAGCTGCCCATCACGGGCGAGGCCCTTAAGACTAACATCTTACTAATGAATGAGTCATATATTCAAATATACCGGGCAAAAATGATCACGGCTATGGAAAGAGTAGACATCTAGAGGAGTGTTTCTCAACCTGGTGCTCGGGGACCCCCAGGGAGGACAGGGAGCTGGGAGGGAGCAAAAATTTGGACCATCTGCAGGTCCCTGAAGACCCGCTCAAGAAACACTGATCAAGAACAAGTAGCCATGTGATTAAGACTGGTGATCGCAAAGAGAATGAAAAGGAATATTTTATGAATAAAAAGCATTACAGAAAGGATCAAAGTGGTCAATCTAGGGAGGACAGGAACTGTAGTTAGAAACATGGAAACCCTGTGTCACCGACTTCCTTGCAGAGTAACTGTTGATCCCAGACAGGCTTGAAGTAAGTTCAGAAATACGGCATGTTAAACCAGCTAAGGATAAAGCCTACAGCTCAGCTGAGAGTGCTGAATCTCCTACTGCTTTGTAAACATGGAGGTATTCAAACATCCGATCAACAAGCTGTGTAAATATCGCCCCCTTGTGGAAAGTTAAAATGCTATGAGGGCCAAGCACACCCCAAATTTGATTCCAGAAGCCAAATCTTTTGTTGCAGTTAAACAATTCTGATTTACAAGAACAATGCCCTTGCTGTGCAGCAAATATAATACAGCTGAACACATTTAGCTAATTGTGCATTTGAGTAAAATGACACACAAATGAGCCTGTCTGTGCCATTATCTGAGCTTTTCAGGATGTCATGGAAGGAGTTGCTGTGGGAGCCGAGCTCTGCACCCTCTAAAATAAGCTAATGCCGCCCCCTAGTGCTAAATATTGAAAACTGCTTCAGTAGCCATTAGCATCACTCGGTCCACCATGACTCCATATTCCCTCACATACTTAGCAGCTGCTGTTTGATTCACATTCAACCTCAATTACACAATTAAGACACACATTTTTCTTTATTTCATAATTTCACCATAAGCCCATTTTTTAAAACCCAGGTCACCAGAACCTCTTCCATAACACCCAGGGCACAGGGTGACGTGCATCCCGGACGGGATTCTGGCCCAGAAGAGCCCCATGATTATTTTTTGCGGCATATTTTAAGTCTCATATCAGGTTATGGTTTCCCAAGGGTATAAGAACAGCAGCAAATCAGAGGGTTAACTGCCATCCTGTTAGCTGGTCTGGACCACAATAAGGACACACAGTGAGCACCACAAGGGGGTGCAATAAACCATTAATAGACCCCATACCCGTTTACCAGTATGTAATGGCTGATCTAGATGTGTGTGTAAATCAGAGCAAGATCTGAAAAAGATATTTTTTCATATTATTTAAAAAAAATAATAACCAAAGTCCTTGTGAGGCTCCATACCAGAATCTGAAAGATTTCAGCCAGCTCACCAGTGCTGATGAGTATACTGTCATGATGGGATTATTGTCGTGGTATTCTCTTCATTTGTGTGCAATCTTAATTTACTTTGATCTCAACCTCTTCACATTAACCTTCACTCCCATGTTCAACAGTGTTATGCATTTATTCTGCCACTAGGTGGGAGCAGAAACCTACTATTCTGTCCTCAATTACTATGCGAGACCTAGGGAGGTAAACAGTGTGGATTACAAATAAAAAGCATTTTTACAGAACGACAGTGGAAGGTGCTACGTCAATTTCACACCTCTCTACAGCACCATGAAAAACCACAAAAGCCAGCTTTTCGATGCCCAGCAGTGAATTTAAAAAGGTGTTATGTACAATATTCATTCAGGTTACATTCCGGTATATTCACGGTTCATATGCTACTTTGTCAAGAGATAATAAAATAGCCACAACTCGTGAGTTTGACAAGTGAGTTTTGCACTACGTACAAAAATGTGAGCTTCACCACAGAAAAACACCAATTCCTTCCACTCCAATCTCAACCTTTTTCATTTATGTAAATCCACTGTCATCTATTATTAGAAGGCGAAATCTAACAGAACGTGTGTTTAAAACGCTTTAGCTAAAGTGAAAACGTATATGTATGTATGTTTTCATGCATTTTGATAAAAAGCTTACAAGCTGGTCTTTACATTGTGTTACTTGACAGAAAACAGTGTAAAATTCCCCTATTTATATAACCAAACTTCCTACCCCTTCATGTTTCTCCAGCCAGCCCATCTTGTCATATGCTCCGCCCACATGGGGGGGGCGGGCTTGCTCACACCTCCCACGACGCATGCGCCGTCTGCCACCTGCTTTTCATTTTACAGGCCAAAGTGAGCTGTCTCATTTAGGGTGGAGCTGCCAGCAGGTGGCGCCATGGAAACACCGGCATGGAGGCCCACAGGTCACTCGCCATGCTGAACGCTGCCGAAACGCTTATTCTGTCACCCGTGTCGTCACAGCCTGCTCATCTGTGGCGGGTGCTTCCCGATAAGCTGATAGAACACCCCCACAAATTCACATTTAGCTTTAAGCTGTTTCCGGAAGTCTCAGCACCCCACATTTAATTAAGTTCCATTCATTTGGACCCAGAAATGAAACAGCCTATGCAAAAACGCACCCTTCAATGCTACGTCGCTTTCCTGCAGAAACAGGTGGAAGCGGGGGCTACAACTAAACCAGCCCCAAGGCTGATCCTGACTGAGCTACAGAGTGGGGGGTGTGCAATAAAGTGAATATTACCTATGTATCTATCAGGGCTAGTAGTAATATTATCTATGTATTCAGTCACTATCCAGCTGGGTGTTCTAGACAGGACCTGCAGCCTGTCTCATGCAGCACAGGCCACAAGGCTGGATACAGCGTGATCAGGATGCCCGTCTATCACAGGACAGTCACACATGCATATCCCCAATCCCAGCAATGACGACCCTAACCCTACCCAGCCCTAACCTGAACCATAAGTAACCAAACAAAATATGTCTTTTGGCATTTTTTGGTTTTTGATTGCAATCACAGATTTTTATAAAACTGAGTTTTGAGCAAAAAACGGTCCCCAAAAACATCAAAATAACAGATTATTATCACATTGCATACACACACACACACACACACACACACAGACAGACACAAAGACACACACAAATAGATTATTTAGATACTGGCAAACCCAGGGGAAACCCACATGACGTAGGTAGAACAGGCAAATTAAATAAAATTTTTTACCATAGCTATTACAATTATTTTTAAGTTATTCAGAAGAATTGTAACTGGATAAATATACGTCTTCAGTCAGTCCCTGAATTTAGTCCCCATTAGCTGCTCCTTCGGCATCTGACAGGCGATCACATGTGTGCCCACTCAGCACAGGGCGCTGTGGCGGCGACTCACCGGAGACGTGCAGCATGCTGTTCTTGATCTCGGCGGCGATCTGGATCCGCCCCCTCCGCTCCGTGTGGTCGGTGCCACAGAGGCTGGGTACATTGGCCACGCAGCGTTTGTGAATGTTCATCATGCAATCTGCGGGGGGGGGAAACAGCACGGCGTTAGCCAGGGCCGCACCGTGAAGGCTGGCACTGGGTCAGCCGGCCATATTTTTTATGGACTGCATTAATTTGCCTGGAAACCACAGCACATGCTGCAGACCTGAGCAAAGCCTTTATAGGCTAACAGGGCAAACCTTCATCAATGATACAAAAACACTCACATTGAAAAACACCTCAGACCTAAGTAGCTCATGCTAAGCTACTTCCCCGGCAAACCCAAAGCACAGCCTTGGCACTTGCTTGGTCAAGGTGCCATGACACGTGAGAGACACTCTCAAAGCAAACCTAGACCATCACCCATCACGTGAGTAACCCCCACACAAGCAGCAAAGTGAGGAGGGAGCCCTACGCACAGCCCCCGAACGGGACCAGCGCCCCTGGGCCAAGCGAGAGGCAGCCTACTTGCCCCTTGCATACCTCGGATACTCAAAACAAGCTATACAGCAAAACCATCAACGTGAAATTCAATCCAGATAATTACAACCCCCTGCGGTGCTGGAAGTCATAACAGAGCCGTATCCTTTTACAAGTTGGGGAGGGCCTGGAAAACAGAGTATCTCTGGGGGGTGCAAGATCAACAAGGGACTATAGTAATGTGCAGCACACACTACAGTACTAGCATTACTGCAGTATCAGTGACGGGGACAACAACAAGAACAACACCAGTACATCCACTGGCACCTTCATGGAAAACACCTCGGACAGCTCCCTTCGAGAAACACTGATGCATTTCTGACGGGGGTATAATTAATCTCATTGATCTGCAACGTGACACACACCTGTGGGAGGTGGGGCAGCTATTTCCAGAAGGAATGTGCTCGCTGGCACACAGCAAGCACCTCCAAAGCAGCCAGATAAGATGGAGGACGGTTAGGCGGGCAGACTGGGGGAGGCTGCCTGGGAGTGTGTCCAGGACACTGGTGTTAATTACTCATCCTAACTACAAGAACGCTTCTCACACGGCAACCATTTCCAGCGAAGTGTGTAAAATATAGCGGCTAAGCCGTACTGCAGCGCAAAATAGCAACATGGCAATTATTTTCATCTCTTAACCATGGGCTGACGGCTGTATTCCTGCCCCCTCCTATATAGTCAGTCTTGCTGCCTCACTGTAAAAACCCTACTCATGTTATTAAATCAAAATATTTTTGATGTCAGTGACATGCTAGTAGAAACGCAGGATGTCATTTGAGGACTCACGTTATAGGAAATGAACTCTGCAGACAAAGTCAGGGTACCAGAAACCCAGGGAAGTCCCAAGGACTAAATACGAGTTCTCAGGGGTCATCAGAAGCGTGCCGAAGATGTTATATGAAGCTATGAATCGGAACCACCTTCCATTAGTGCAGTAGCTGTACAGTCTATGAGCTAAACACACTATTCATTTAGGGTTTTGACTGTATTTGACTGTGAGGCACGTCTGAGCCTGAGATGGGCTTGTACTGTATTGTATTTGCACAAAAGGTCATACGTACGATCGCATTTCATTCCCTGGTGGATGAGGCCGTAGAGCAGCGATCCACAGTGATCGCAGAAGGTGGGACTGGAGTATGTGTGCACCTTGAACTTGTGCTTGCTCCGAGGGTCCTGAAAGAGATCGAAACAATGGCCCATGTGTGACCTCAAGTCTTAGCAAGAACAGTAGAAGCTATTCTTATATTGCTAGACAGGTAATTTTACACAGTGAGCCAACTCCAGCCAAGCACGTCGTAAGCATACAGGAACGAGACAGATTCTTGCACCTAAAAAGAGCCTTAAGTGGTTTTCAGTCAGAATACTGTTCCCTAATTTTATGATGGCAGTTAAAAGTGTTTCACTTGCAGCACATATTTTGTAATAAAATAGCTCCACTGTTAATGTAATTTTTTTTAAAAAAAACAGAGCATCGAGGTCATTTATACAGTATCTATCATCTATCCATCTTCCATTTATTTCTATATAGCACCTTTCACAACAATTGCCCCAAGGCACTTGACAAGAGTATGTGGCAATCCATTGTTATGAATACCATGTTATGTTTTATCTTCCACCCACTATAAACATTATATGGCCAAAAGTATGTGAACACCCCTATCAAAGGACTTGCTTTATTAATTAAAGCACACTCATCACTGACACACATTTACACAATGTCATGCAACAAGCAGTAGCAGAAATGATGGTAGTACAGATTTTCCACGAGGCACCATCATTGGACGCCATCTTTCCTATAAGTCAGTTTGCGAGATTTATGCCCTACTAAAGCTGCCCTGGTCAACCATAAATGAAGTGACTGTGAAAACAATAACATCTGGGAGCAAGTTTAGTTGCAAAATGATGGCCACGTAAGCTCACAAATAGGGACCAGACAACCCAACATCAATACCCAACCTGAATGGCAGCAAATCCCATCAACAATGTTCCAACATCTAATGGAAAGCCTTCCATAAAGAGCCGAAGCTGTTATACAGTGAGGGAGATAATTAGTTGATCCCTGGTTGAATTCCTAAGTTAACCCATTTATAAAGAAATGAGAAGCCTATCATTTCTGTGGTAGGTTTATTTTAACATCAGAAGACTGATTTTCAACAAAACAAACATGAAAAAAATCATCATGTAACAGGTACAAATCAATTTGTCGTTTATCTTGGGAAATAATTATTTGATCCCCTACAAGCCAGCAAGAAATTAGGTCAAGTACATGTGCACTAACACAACACAAGTAGTACTTACTCATGTACTAACAGATACCAAGCCAGCATTCTTATTTAACGGCATTATTTTGTTAAATAGTATTCTTGGGTCACTAACCTGTTTATATATTCAACCTTATCACCATGGGAAATAACAAAGAGCTGTCTAAGGACATCAGAGACACGATTGTCGACTTTCACAAATATGGAATGGGCTACATGACCATCAGCAAGCAGCTTGGTGAGAAAGTGACAGCTGTTGGTGCAATTATTCACAAATGGAAGAAAGACAAAATAACTGTCAGTTACCCTCGGTCTGGGGCCCAAAGGAAGATCTCATCTCATGCAGCATGAATGATCTTAAGGATGGTGAGGGCTAACCCCAGAACTACACGGGAGGAGCTCGCTAATGATCGCAAAGGATCAGGGACTGCAGTCACCAAGAAAACTATCGGTAACACATCCTGCCGTTACGGTTTGAAATCCAGCAATGTTTGCTAAGTACCCCTGTTCAAGAGGGCCCATGTTCAGGCCCGTCTGAAGTATGCCAGTGAACACCTGAATAATTCCAATGAGGCTTGGAGGAATGTCATGTGGTCAGATGAGACCAAAATCGAGCTGTTTGGTATCAACTCTACTCGCTGTGTTTGGAAGGAAAAGACTGCTGACTATAACCCCAGGAACACCATCCCTACTGTCAAACACAGAGGTGGAAGCATTATGCTTTAGGGGTGTTTTTCTGCCAAGGGTACAGGACGGCTGCACCACAACGAAGGAAAGATGGAAGGGGCCATGTACCATAAAATCTTGGATGAGAACCTCTTTTCTTCAGCCAGGGCACTGAAAATACATTGTGGGTGACTGGGTGGGTCTTCCAGAAAGACAACAACCCTAAGCATCCGGCCAAGGCAACAAAGGATTGGTTCAAGAAGCAGCAGATTAAGGTCATGGAGTTCCTACTGAGCTGTGTGCAAACCTGGTGACTAACTACAAGAAATGTCTGATTGCTGTGCTTGTCCACAATGGTTTCTCCACCAAGCACTAAAGCATGTGTTCAAAGGAATCAAATATTTATTTCCCTAGATAAATAACAAATTTCTTTGTACCTGTTACATAATGATTTTTTCTTGCTTGTTTTCTTGATCTATCTTTTGCTGTTAAAATAAACCTACCAGTGAAATTATAGACTTATCATTTCTTTATTAATGGGTCAACTTAAGAATTCAGCAGGAGGTCCAATAATTATTTCCCACACTGTAACAAATCCAAACCATTACGACCACCCTCATATGAAACGACTAATGTTGACCACATCATATATATACAGTGTGTGTCAAGGTCTGGGGTATATTAGATAACCTTCATTCAGTGCTCATACGTGACGTGTTGAATGCAGAAGACATGGCCAGAGGTAAAGCTCTGAAGGACTTTGACAAGGGGGTCAAAGCATCTCCAAAATTGGTATGCTAACGGTCAGCCATGGAGGGTACCTCCTGTGAGCAGTCAGGGAAGAGAAAACCACAATTCGCCAACAGGGTGTTGGGCAGGACTATTCTATGTGGGATTTGAACAAAAGCTGTCCTGTCTGGTACGAACCAACAGAAGGGCTACTATGGCACAAATCGCAGATATTTTTAATGGTGCGTTTTTAACATATTCTGACCCAGTCATCTGGCCATAACAATCTGGCTCTTATCAAAGTCACTCACATGTCCTGCCCATTTCTTTTGCATTCAACATGACAACTACAGCTACTGAATGTTGGCTTCCCATCTAACATACCACAGACCTTGACATGCGCTATTTTTGATGACTGTGTACATTATTCACATCATGTGGGGGTGGTCGTTATGTTTTGGTTCATCGGTGTATATGCTGTTCAGTGCAGAGATCTTACGCTTAGTAGGCAGAATTTGAGCTTTATATATATATATATATATATATATATATATATATATATATATATATATATATATATACACACAGTATGATCATGCTGCTCACACACCCAGTCTATTCAAGAAGGGTCATCCAAAGGAACAGATTGAATAGCCAATCCAATTAAACAGGAAAACATCGTTATGTAAGCTGCAAAAAAGTGCCGGAGATTAAGTCAAAATGAATGGCAGATCCAAGAATTCAGTCTATGAAGTATACAGAAGCTCTGTCATTTTCTGTTTTTTTTTTGGGGGGGGGGGGCGGTCATGGGCAGAAATAACACGCAGTGAAACTACCAGTGGTTTCACAGTGCAAAGATTTCAGGCGCTTGGCATATATAGGCACAATCCGGAGATAGCTCCTTGTGGGAGTCACACTCTGCACACCTCACGGCACCATCTCCCATCCAAGAAGATCCCCCACAGCGGACAGAAATCGGGAACGTCGCTATTCTCAGTGCTAAGATACGGAATTGGGAAGGACCCTCAGTCGCACAGTGAATCGTTTAGTGAATTAAGATTAAGAAGCTTTGAGAGTTTGTGGGTAGTTGCTGGTCATGCTGCTGCGATGAGGGAACTTCACTGAAAATGCCATTGCACTGCCAATTAAAGGTGTCCCGGCAGACGCTGAACTTAGGATGGTCCGATCGGTCTCCCTTGATGCGTTACACTGGAAACACTGGGACGGCAAAGTGAAGGACCCCAAAGCTGCTTCGGAACCNGGCAGATACAGAACGGCAGACTGACCCACTCTGTGAGGCTACAAAAAAAGCTACACCTTATAGCTACGTCTGGGCGGAGCCGTGTTCTACAGACAGTGGAGCATGCAGCACTGAACGTTCTAGAACGACTACTGACAACTGGAAATATTGTGATGAATGTTTTAGTTACCAGTCTACCAACAAATTTAACTTTTATTTATGAATAATGTTTAAGGCACATGGCATGCATTTATTTTGAATAAAACAGCTCCCAATATTATCTGCAAGGGACTGAACATTAGCAGTTGCTAATGTAATGTAAGTTGTGATGATAAATAACAATTCCTCACTCATCAGTCATTGTCATGAAATCCACACTCAGGACCAGCTAAAATGGATACATTCCTTAATCAAAATCATCTTCAGGTCCAGGGACGTAAAGCACCGCTAGTATGAAAACATTTTTTCAATTTAAATGCCACTAAGTTTTTCAGACACATTCAGGAAGATACGGCGCACCTCTTCACTTCTGAGGAATACAGAAGATAAAGCAGAGAGTATTAAGGAGGATTGTGATGAACCACTGGAATGACACGAGTGAACACACAAACACCTGTGAAATGTGTATAAATGGAACCCCCCCCCCCCCCCCCCCCCCCCCCGCCCCCCCCACCAACACACTATTGTCTCATAGTACCACGTGGGAGGCAGCAACACGTGTCCCCAATTCAGAATCTTCCTGGCATTCCAGTGCTTCCAAGGCTAATATGGCTGTCACAGCATGTTAGGGGCGACTGTTTTAACACTTGCTAAGAAACAATGGGGTCAGATTAGAAGCAACAGAGTCCTGCCTAAGCCTAGTCTCTCTTAAAAATCCTTTAAAAGACAAGGGAAGTACTTCCATTTGTGGGACCAGACCATGACATGTAGCCTTCTTGAGTCCTGCTGTTTTGCTCTAAGAGCCTGACTGAAGGGCTGTAATTTGCCCATTTTCATTGGCAGTAGATGCTTTGATCAGGCAGCCATGAGGTGGGATGGTAACAGCGATCTGAGCAGGGCAGTAAGAAACGCGTTTACCGACAATGCCTTTGCATTATTTATAGTGGACTTTTTGGTCAATCTTCAGTTCAGTGATGCAGCTTAGATGACCTCCTGCGCAGAGTTAAGCTAAAAAGTGCATCGAATACACGAGGGAGAGCCTTCTCCACTGCCCTTACTCCCAAACATAAGGACACAGGCCATAATCAAATTTCACGATGATCTAGGAATGCTATAAT